TGCGATCGGACGCGATTAAAAGTTATTGTTTTACGTGGCGGTTGTGACTCCCTCCGCGAGACGATTACAAGCCCACGCTCGGGTGGATTGATATCGATTTCCGATTCCCGCCCCGTCATCCATTTGCGACCGCGGCGAGAGAGAGAGAGACAGACAGACAGAGAGACAGACAGACAGAGAGATCAAGATATTAACATATTGTAGACTCCGAGGGAAGAGAAAAAATAAATAAATAAAAACCGTTCGAGCGCGCGTGCGCTTCCGTACGCGGCGTCTTATCTACATACAAAAGGTGATAATAATAACGTATTAAAACAAAGTGGACCAACGTGAAAAAAGCCACATATGGAAATTCTAAAAAGGGTCGTAGCATAGGAAGACCCGCTTGAAAGTGTTATAAGTACACGCGCGGAGCGCGTCGACCCATCGGCCGACCGGCGGGATCGCGTCCCGTCGGTCCCTTCCGCGCGGAGAGGTCATTTCGACGATTGAAGCGGCGACATGAGCGCGAAGAAGCGGATGCGTTCGTCGCGATGAAGAATTCGCCGCGAGCCAACGGCGTGTACACACGTCGCGGCTGGTGCGTTCGCAAATATCGACAATTGCGATCCGCCGCGACCGGCGAAGTGTAACTCGGGTGTGTAACGATATGGTATTCCCTGCGGATATGGTGTTCCCCAGGATCGATTGTGGGAGTGCGTTTGTGGGAATTTTGTAAATACAAAGAAAAGGAAAAGAAAAAAAACAAAAATGGCGACGAGGCGGCGCGGCGCGGCGTCTCGCTTAGAGTGCGTCACGCATATTTACGGCGTGTGTGCGTGTGTGAATGCGAGTGTGTACTGTCTTAAGGATACGTCTAAGAGTCCCGCAGTCCCAAAAGGGCGCGCGGGAAATAGACCATGCGTCATATATTCTAAATCTACGTGGTAAAGCGCGTAAGAGTGATTGGAAATCTAGAACTACGCGACGTCTTTTGAGTGTTTTGACACTTTCGTACGGGTGGGGGAGTTGTACACATTGTTTCCGCTTCATGTCGACTCGGAGAGAGAGAAAGAGAGAGAGAGAGAGAGAGAGAGAGAAAAAGAGAATAGAATATAGAATTTTATTGTCATCCAGGGGTTCAAAACCCTTTAGAGTTTACAGAATATCTTAATAAAATGAAAAGTGCTGCAAAAGTGACGCAAGATAATGCGCAGAGGGACAGCATGTGAAATGCGCGCAAATAAAAGCACGCAAAGAGATAGGCGACAGAATAAAACGCAAAATAACGTAAAGAAATCGCGACAAGTACATGCAAATGAATGTAATGCATGAAAACACAGGAGAAAACGCGCAAAGTGACGCGAGCAGTCCGATTGGATCGCCATCCCAAGAACGACATCTTGTCTCTCAGAGTCGAGGAGAAAATTCTTCAATGAATGCCTAAAGTTAGAGATCGAGGCGATATTCACAACTCTGTAGACAGTGAGAGTTCTAGAGATGGGCGGTCCGAATTTTAAGTGATCGCTTATAAAGTAACACACGTGGGCCTGATTGCAGACAGCGGGAGGGCTGAGAGCAATAAACAAGTGGAGACAGAAAAAACATACGAGAGAGAGAGAGAGAGAGAGAGAGAGAGAGATGCAACGATACGAGGTGGACTTATTTTTCTTATGGTTGCGTACATCGACGCGCTGCAATTGTTTGAAAATTTGCATTTTGACGTTAGATTTGAGATTGATATTCTATATCACTGCATTAGCTATACCGCTATATGTGTGTGTGTGTGTACATAAAGTTTCTCGCATCTGATGATAGTAACATAAATATAAATATAACGTACATACATATATATATATATATATATATATACACATGTGTGTATAACGATACGATAAATTATCTTATCGCTCATATTAGTTCGTAACAACAACCAACAATGTTGGAGAAAAAAGTTGCCGCTTCAATCGGAGACATGTCTTACGAGCGCCGCTATGCGAGCCCTAGCGCGTGCTTAGTAGCTCGCAAATCTTCCCGATAACAAAAGATCGATGTGCCGTAGCGCGAAACTCGCTGCGACTCGGTATGCCGATTGGTCGATCGCTAATAGGCGTAGATAGGGAAACTAATGATATATCAGCTTGAGCTATTTAAATACATAGATATATGAGACTCGTACTATTGTCTAAAAAGTTTATCATACGTGATATTTCCATAAATTATATACATATACATATATGTGAGGCATTAAGCAACCTTCCTTTTCTAGTACCTTTTAAACTACCATTTCTATTCACATACACAATACACAACACACATACACACATACACTCGCATTTACACACACATACGCATCGTACGTGCACACTCACTCACTGACCCACACGCACGCGCATACATATGCTACTTTTTTATATTTTTACTAAAATAGAGACAAGGGGCGTTGTTGGTGGTGTGTAACCGAGTAGACATTTCAATTAGACGAAAAGTGTAACCAGACGACTATTAGACTGATGAACGCGCTACTAGTCGTACCGCCGCGGCCGGGGGCGGGTTTCGTTCTCGCGAATTCTTCGTGAAATATGAAAAATGAACGATGCACTTTGCGCGCTCGAGAGTCATTTACGCGCTCGCTGCTCGCGGCGCGCAGCAGCAGCATTATCGGCTGGTTAAGCCACTGTCGTTCTCATTTAAGAGCTCCCGGCCATACATTTACGGATAAATCATGCAGCCCTTCCGCCGAACGACGCGACGGCGCGCTCGAAGCGCGCCGAGCGTTTTTCAGTTTAAGCATGGAAATACATTTATTTGAGAGAGCGCAAATGCGCGAGCGCGTCGGCGATAAATCAGAAATTGTGCACGGCGCAATCCCGCGGACGATATTCCGCGGCGCGTTCGGCGTGTGCGCGAAACACACTGCAGCGATTTATCGGGAGATATGCACGCTGGCAGGAGAAGAGGAAAATATAAAACCCACACTCCGCAATCAGCGGCTTGTGTGATTTGTTCCATTTTTCGCCAAGGCGGATCAGACGGCGGATTAAATCCCCCCCCCCCCTCCGCGATAAACGGCCGGAGGCCGATGAAGCGGAAAATAATTGAACGTAGAGATCCTTCGCGCGCGCGAATTATTCTTTCGGCACGCGATCTCATGTTCGGCGCGCTAATGTCCCTTCGTTGTTCTCGTCATAACGATTAATCTTACGAGCAAATACACACACACACACACACACACACTTACGTGCACACGGAGGAGAGGTATGTCTTTAAGTTGCGCGATTCACACGTTGGCTTTTGCGGCAGACTTTTGTCTCCACCGAATATTAACGGCTCTCGCCGCAGAGACAAAAGCGCGGACGATACGATACGACGAAGTTTTTCGAGCGATTAATATCCCAACTTCCGCCAAGTGAGCAGCGCGCTCTTTGCCGCGTTTTCCACTCTCCCTCTCTCTCTCTCTCTCTCTCTCTCTCTCTCTCTCTCTCTCCCCCTCTCTCTCTCTTTCCCTTCCTCTCTCTCTCTCTTTCCCTCGCGGCTCCGCGCTCTCCGACCGGATCGAGAAATCGCGATTTCCCCCGCGAAATTACTCGCGACTCTCTCCCGCCGAATAACACGACTCTCCGCGAGATATCACACATCGTCGTCGTCGTCGTACTGTCTATTGCGAAGCACCGCGTCTGTCCCGTTCTCGTCGATATATCCATCAGCTTGAACGCGCGCCAAGCAAACACCGCCGTATTCTCTCGCCAAGACCGTGCGCCGCGGAGCCCCGCCGGAAGCGATTTGCGCCAGAAGCGAATCCCCTCGAGGTGTTCGCGAGGTATCGCGATCATCTTGTACACATGTTGTACTTGCCCTCGCACGCGACACGGAGCCGGCCGATGCGCGACATTTTGCCGTTTCGCATCCGCCGGCTGCCTCCCAGTGTGATCAAACGCGACTCTCTTGTGCCGAGGTGCGCGCGACGTGTGTATGACATTTATTGGCCGCGACGTCCGCACTGTTTCTTGCTCACTCTCGGCGCAGTGGCGGCAGATATATAGTGTGTGTACATATATACATATACTAATAATAATAATAATAATAATAATAATAATATATATATATTTACATGTACGATGATATACGTATATTTTAGCGTGCGTGTGCCTACTTCGTCTTATAGTTTGATACTATTGTACATACGCGACCTGTACCTCGAGTTATACACTGTAAAACACTTTAACTGTCAATTATATGGAGTTTTATGATATACACAAAACTTCAAAAGCCGGCGTAAGGAAGAAGAGAAATTATATATATATATATATATATATATATATATATGCTGTAGGTATACTACGTTATGTGTACTACGTGTGACGTGAAGCGACGCACGAGACGCGCGTAATGTAGCCGGTAACATATAAATGTGAAATGTATGGCCTGCACATAATTCTAAATTAGGTACGTTCGAAGTAATCATTCATTAGGCCCTTCCTTTTTATGCGTATGTAATCAGCGAGGAGGGAAGAAAACGAGGAAAGGACAGAGAAAGAGACGCACGTAACTCGACTCGTATCCCGAGGGAGCGGGGCAAAGTATATCTGTATCGAGAAGAAGAGTTATTTCTAAGATCATCGAGGCGGGTAAAATACCGTCTCGTTCTTTAGTCCACGGCGATTTATGCAAGGATTAATTGTCCTGAAAAATTTACCTCCGGCAGAGAGCATTAATTTGTACATCTGGAACGCACGACGATGCTTCGCGAGTCCGTTCGTTCCCGAGTCATCTTCATCTTCGAGCGTCGCGCGGGGAATTGTTAATTGCACGCGAGACACGTATCTTTGTGTGTGCCTGGTATCTCCGCGCGCTGTTTTTAGCGTCCCCGATCGCCGCCTCGGCGATCCTCCGATTCTGATTTACGGACCGAGCAAATTCCGCGGCTACGAGCACGATACGTTTAGCGGGATTTATCACGGGAACTTGCGAGATATGTATTTATCGTCGCGCGCGTGCGCGCGCGAAGCTGGAATTTGTAAGCTTTTTCCAATCCCGCCGAGTAGCCTCCTTAAAATATTCACGCAACGAGCTCGCGGGCCGCTCCGAGACCTCCTGCGTTGTGAGTCGCGAAATAATATTTTACTTGTTGACGATTATGCGCAATGTAACTATTCGCCGTGACTCGAATATAGGGTTGAACGATATTAAACGAATTATCAAATCAAGACTCGGTGGTGTCTCCTCGATGTGTGCGTGTGACTTGTTGTTCCAAGCGTCCCTCAATCCCCTTGATTCGTCCAGCCGCGAGGTAAATGTCAAAATCTCCCCCTTGCCCCCCGCCCCTACGTCCCACACAAGTACGACTGTTCCTCTCTTAGTTGTTTGGACATGTATTTATTTACATTTTACAACGTACAAAACGAGATTATATTGGGTACATATAAATAATGGTAAGAACAATGAGCGTACATCGACCGTGTGTTTCGTTATCTCCTAGCTAAGTTAAGTATCCCGACGTACGTGCTGCGGGAACAACGTGGCTTGTTAGGAGCGAGATGACTTCGAGAATGACGTCGCACGCTTTGAAATAAATACGATGGCGTGTGATTCGCACAACTACGCTAACGAGACCTTCCTGATTGTTAGTTATATCCGTGCTTGTCGTTGTTGTTACATTACACCATTCGCGAATTCGCGCGATATTTACTTTTGGTATTCTCCTCCTCCTCTTCTTCTTCTTCTTCTTCTTCTTCTTCTTCTTCTTCTTCTTCTTCTGCTTCTCTCGCTTCTCCCTCTTCCCTCCGGCGAGATTAATCTACGGTACAAAGGTACAAAAAGAGACGTATACGAATATATTACGAGCAAATCGGATCACCCTCTCGCAAGTATTGCACATCCCGCGAGGTCCTGCCAAGACTTCCTTTCGCGAACGAAGGAACGAAGGACTGTGCTCGTCTCCGGGGTTGCTTCGTCGGCGGCGCTTGCTCCGCAGATCTGACACCGCTCTTCCCTCCTTTTCCCCTTTTCTCTTTTGGTACAACGTCTGATCGTGAAGAACGCTTCTCCCTAAGTGTATCTCGAGTATCTGTAGACGCAGGACGCGACGAATCCCGCGCATGAGCTCGCCGCGTCCCGAGACGTTCTCGGATTCGCACGGCGCAGGAAACGGCGCGATGACGATAATTTCGAAGCGAAAACGGGGACACACGCTACTATCCCGAGCAGAACATCGTCCCACGGCCGTATTAAAACCCCATCCGGCCTCGAAACTTCAAATAGGGCCCGGATAACTTCATCGGATCCGGCACGTGATAAGGAGTGAAACGCACTGCTGATAAAATTGCCCGAAATCGAGAAACCTCTGATGAAATGTCCAAATCAGGGGACCAAATCAGGCATCCAAATAATGACGTCATCGCTGGTCAGGGTATAATCCGGAAAATATTGCAAGACAATTGCCAACATTCTGACCGGATAAGGACCACTCGAAATGCCTTCTTACGACCTGCCTGGTCTTATCAGGCATATCAGGCATAAAAAATTGCCGTATTTGACTTCTGCTCGGGATGTTACATGTAACGCACGCGCGAGTCCCTCACGGTACCCTGAAACCAGGACTAACGACTAAGCGACCGACACGAAACGCGGCGTGTGAAATCTTCCCGTCGCTCCGTGCGCCGCGTCGGGAAGACACGACTCTTGAAAAGCGCACCGCGACATGTGTCGAGTCCCCCTGACGTGCCCTAATCGCGCCTCCTCCAGCGAGGAGTCTCCCGCCTTGGAGTCACACGCCGCTCGTCGAGATTGTCGGGGTCACGCGGTTCGCCGGTAATCAAAGTACAATCGTTCCGCTCCGAGCCCGTGAAGAGCGAGGAGACGTCAGTTCTTCTTGGTGAGCTCCTGGAAGAATGCCTCGATCGGCAAGGTCGGCTCGTCGGTGGTGATCTTGAAGTGCGCGGGCGACACGAGCCGGCTCTCGGGCGAGACCGCCTTGAACATGCCGGGCTTGTCGTAGAGTGCCGAGGCGGAGCTCGTCAGATCCGCCACGCTCTGCGACGCCTTGGCGAACAGCTCCTCCTCGTCGCTCGAGCGCACGTCAAACTTGGTCGTGATCTCCGTCTCCGTCTCTGCCTCCGCCTTCGCCTCCGCCTTCGCCTCCGCTTCCTTCCGCGATCCTTCCGCCTTCTCGCCGCGGTCGTTCTCGGAGGCAGTTGGCTCTGTCGGTTGGACTTTGCTGTCGCCATGCCGATCGCCGCTCGGTTCGACCGGCGACTGAGCTCTCACCACCACCACCATCTCTTCCTTCTTCTTGTCCTGCTTCTCGTCCTCCTTCTCCTCGTCCATCAGAATGCTGCTGCCGTTGGGCTGCAGCCGGTTCTGACCCTCGTTCTTGTTCTCCTGCACGCCGAGTTTCACCGGGTGAGTGTCCAACGTCACGGCCTCCCCCTTCTCGCTGACGATCTCGTTGGCCACGAGACGAGTCGTCGACGCGGCCGTCGTGCTCATGGCCGAGTAGAAATTGGTCTCCTCAGCGGCCATCTCCGTAGACTCCTGCTGCCGTCGCCGTTCCGGGTGCGCGTTCGCCACCGCGGCTGCCACCGCCTCCTTGTGCGGGTGCTGCGGCCGGCTCTTGGCGGCTGGTCGCCTCCGTATCGACGACGAGTACACGTTCTCGGGTCTCACCGAGCTCTGTCGCGCGTTCGTCTCGCCGTTCACCTGAGACCGCGTCGGGCTGCTCGTGGTGGAGGCGATCCTGCTGCGGTACACGTTGCCGCTGATCGGCCGTCTCTTCGGCACGAACCTGTTGCTCTTCTCGGTCGTTGAGGACGCGCTCTCCTCGAGGAGCCGTTCGTGCTCCTTCGTCGCGCCGCTCGCGGGCGTGGTGCTGCGGTAATTCATCCTGGAGACGTACTTGTACCGACCGGTGGTCTCCCTCACGGGCTCAGCAGCAGCAGCAGCAGCAGTGGGCTGTTGAACCTGTTGCTGCTGCTGGGTCCTCGCGCTCGACGTCCTCTGCTTGTAAGGAGATCGAATAGACGTCTCCGTGGTGGAGCTCGACGGCGACTCCGTTGTCGAGGTCTGTTGTTGCACTCTGCTCTTGTAATCCAAGCGACTCTTGTAGTCTTTGATGCTGAAGCGCGGTCTGGTGGCATTGCCGTACCTCAACGGGCGGATCTTGTGAGACCTCAGCGTGGAGGAGATTACCTGGGCGCTCTGCGTCGTCGGTCGCGGAGTGGTGGTGGTCGTGGTCGTGGTGCTGGTGGTGGTGGTAGTAGTCGTCGCCGTCGTCGTGGTCGTGCTCGTCGGCGCGGCTGTGGTCGCTCGGTCGTAATAATTACCGTCGTCGGTTCGCACGTAGAGCTCCTCCAGCGGTATGCTGGTGACGATGTTCCCGTTCTGCTGCCGCGAGCCGGCGTTGTAAGACTCGACCACCTTGTCGCGGCTGCGCTCTGTGCCGTAATACTCCACTTGGACGGGTGGCGCGGTGGTGTCTTCGCGGTGCTCTTCGCGGTAGCCTTCGCTCAGCTGTGACGTGTAATCGTAGTACTGATTGATCGGCTGATTCGTGATGTATTGTTCATCCTGCTGAGCCGTCCCGTAGGGGACGCTCGGCTGGCTGGTGGCGAACTGCTTGTTCTCGTTGTTGTACTCCTCCACGATTTCGTGCCCGTAGGAGGTCAGAGGCTGCGAGTTGTCGGTGACGACCTGCGCGTCGTACGACTCGCTCAGCTGGTTCACTCTCGTGCGGTGACTGGGTCGTTTCCTGGAGTTGGTTCTCTTCTCCGTGCCGGTGTCGTCACCGGTGTAAGTCGCCTGGGTAGGCTTGATGCGTCTTCTTCGGGACGATTCATGGTGGTTCGCCTGCGTGTCTTCGCCGCCTCGGTTATACTTGAGGAAGTCTTCCTCGTGCTGCGACTCGGTGACGGGTTCTTGAGTGGTCGTCGACGGCTTTCTCCGTCGATGCGAGGAACCCGGCCGACGAGTCCTGGAGGACTTTTGCGTGGTCACCGTTGGTAGAGTTTGCGATTCCGGTGCTACGGTCGTTTGGACGGGTACTTCCTCCACGTGCAGGGTCAAAGGGACGGAAGTGTCTGACTGTTGGCTCGGCGGCTCGGTTGGCGCGAGCTCGTAGGTCGAAGCGGTCGTCGGTTTTTTGCGACGATGCTGATCGCGAGACGGTTTCTGCGGACGGTACGGCCGGCTCTCAGCTTGAGGGTCGCGATAGTCGACCTGTTGCTCTTGGTACTCGTTCTGGAAGTGCTGCTGATACGGGTAATTCACTTGATTCTCCGGGATCTGCGACAGACGAGCAGTTTGCAATGTTTTCACACGTCGCACATAAGAAACTCGCCGATCAGAGAAAGTGGTATGCAGTAAAGTTGGAGTTTCGAGAGAAAATTAATATGAGAGAAATTCTCACTTTGGTAAACTTGAACATAAATATTCAACCGCTTCCGTCGACTTAATTTCGAAGCGCGATTGCTCCCAAATGAAAATCTGACGCGACTTCAAGATCGTTTTGAGGAGAAGGAAGACACGATCGTGAGGGAGAAGAATCTCCTTTCCGCTTGCAGTAGTAGTCTCATTATCGTTTCAGCCCGAAGTGGACCGAAACGAAAGAAGCACTGCGCGAGCATTGCAATTCCGCAGTTAATCGTTGATATTTCTAATGAGCCGAGCCAAACGGCAGCCGTTTGATCGATACATCGGTCTGCCTGCTCCGGCTGAGAAGACCCGCACGTAACCGGCACGTAAACGACAGCCGTCGATTCGAGTCGAATGACGGAAACAGAATGACGCGCAACAGAGCGTGTAATCGGCGGTTTTGCCGCAGAAAGCAGAAACCTTACCTGAGGCTGGACTCGCAGCTGCTCGACGTTGTAAATGCCGGGCTGCGAGAGCAGGATGCTGGGATCGGCGGTGGTGATCTGCGGCTCAAATTGCGCCAGTTGAATCGTGTAAGGCATATCGCTGATCTTGATGAGCTCTTGCGACTGATTCTTCGCAGACTCGGCGGCTAACCTAGCCGCCTCCTCCTCCTCTTGCTCCTCTTTCTCCTGCTGGAGAAGCTGATTCAGCTCCTGCTGCCGCTTCTTCAGCTCCTCCTGCTGCTGCCGCTCGATCTCCAGCTTCTGCTGGCGCTCCTGCTCCGCCAGCTGCTCTCGGTCGCGTTGCAGCAACTGTTGCTGCAGCAGGTACTGTTGCTCGTTGAAGTGCTTCAACGAGATGCTCTCCGGCGTCTCGTACTCCACCGTCGTCGGCGGGTAAACCTCGACCGGCTCGTAGGGATTGTGCGGTCTGCGGTAAGCGACCTGATTCTGGGTATCGATCTCTTGGCTGAATTTGCCCGGCGGATTCTCCCGCGGCAGCACCTCGTTGATGTCGGACGTGTACTTGTTCTTCGGCCACGTGGACGACGGTGTGAGTTCCCGGTGTTCCGAAACATAGTAGGTGCCGGTGGTCCGCGAGCTCGGCAACTCGGTGTGACCACCCTTGTCCTGTTTGTTCCTCGTTGCTTGGTCCGTTCGTTTGTAGTCGTGTTCTCGCGCGGGGGCTCGCGGGGTCACCGCGGTGGTGGTCGGCGGCAACGTCGACGAGGATGAGTAAACCGCCGGGGGCAACAGGGTCTCGTACGGCAAGGACGGCCGGAAGTTGTACGCGTTGTACGTGCCGGACGGCGTGACGTAGCTCACCTCGTGGCTCTCGTGAACCAGGAACGCCGGGTCTCGCTCGTACGTGGACTTGAAGTGGCTGGGCGAGTGGTGGTTGATTTGGCTGTAGAAATTGCCGCTGCTCGCCGAGCTGAGGACCTGGGCGTTGTGCGACTGCGCCACCACCTGGTAGCGGTGGTCGTTATAGGCGTCACGGTCGTTGCCGGTCTTCTGCTTGTTGCCAAAGTCGCCGGATACGTCCGCGAGCGGCGGCTGGAAGTACGGTTTCGCGTTACCGCCGACCTTGAGCGACTCGAACGGTTTCGCCTGGTGGTGACGAGGCGGCTGCAGCGCCTGCGGCATGGCGAAGGGCGGTACGTAGGGACGATTAGTGGTGTAGCCCTTGATGTAGTAGGTCCCGGCGCGTATCGGCTCCAGCTGCTGTTGCTGTTGCTGTTGCTGTTGCTGCTGCTGCTGCTGCTGCTGCTGCTGCTGCTGCTGCTGCTGCTGCTGCTGCTGCTGCTGCTGATGGACCACCGATGTCGACTGCGGCGCGACGTACGGCTGCTGCGGTTGGCGCAGGTAGTTGGCGTTGTCGCGCAGGATCGGCTTGCGGTGTTGGTTCACCTCAAAGCGGTACGCGTCCTTGGGCGGCGGTATCAGGAAGGTGTACTCCTGCGTCGCCGAGGCCACGTACTTGCTCGGCGCCTTGGTCTCGCCGCGTGCCTTGGTCGCTGCGTGGCCGAACACGCTGAAGCTGCCGAGGATGCTCGGCGGATTGTACTCGTGCATCGGCGGCTTGCCCTTGCGCGGCGGCTTCAGCTTCTCCGACGTCGCCATGTGCTCCTGCACCTTACTCAGGACCGGGTGCACCTGCACGTTCTTCTCCAGCTGGCTCGACGGCGACACGTTCATGCCGATCGTCTCCTCGTATGAGTTGGTCAACGGCCGCCATCCGTTCGCGATCATTGATGACCGAGTGGGTGGCTGCGAGAAACGAACTCGAGTGTTAGGGTTTGAGATTCTTGCGCTTGCTCTCTCTCTCTCTCTCTCTCTCTCTCTCTCTCTCTCTCTCTCTCTCTCTCTCTCTCTCTCTCTCTCTCTCTCTCTCTCTCTCTCTCTCTCTCTCTCTCTCTCTCTCTCTCTCTCTCTCTCTCTCTTTCTTTCTTTCTCTTGTCCGGGTCATTCGAGTCGATAACCTCACCTCAGAGGTGAGAAGATGCAAGCTCGAAGTCTTGCAAGGGGATACACAGGTTGAAACACACAAAGATGTAAAGTGACATTTACAATTGATCGATCGGGTTCGTGAAATATCCGGAGAGCCCGGATTCCCTTTGTTCTCCAATGCTCCGGTGAATAATCGCAAAATTAACGTATTGTAAATAAAAGCAATTGACAGTTAAAAATTAGATCACACACGTCACGTGAATGTCGACGGTTGGTACTTGATTGTTGCAACAAGAGGAAAATCTTTGAGCCGTTCTCGAGCAATTTTGCCGAGCAGAATGATGCCGAGTTATTCCACTCGACAATTATAAGAAGATATTTTAAGAGCACGAGTGTGTTGTCTTTGGGACACGTCTTTTTATCTCCACTCCGCAAGGATCTCGAGCGTGTATTTTCTCGCCTCTAACGTCATCAATCAAGATGACCGCGTCGGGGGAGGCTTGAACAAACTTGACACGAGCGACGAGCCGACAAAGTGCACTCGATGAGAGCCTCGCTCTCTCGCGATCGACATCTCGAGACTCGACGACGAGGGTGATCGAATCGATGGGTTTCGCGCGCCTGTCGGCCGCCTCGCTCGGCCTTGTCTCCGCTCGCAACCCCGCGCTGTTTCGCGAGATCTCCGCTCCTCGTGCCTTTATTTATTCTATAAATTTCCCTTCGAAGCCTGCCACCCTCGGAGGAGTACTTCACCGTGATTGAGACACCCGCGGCGCGGCGCGGCGCGACGCAGCCTCGCGCGGTGCATTTCCCACGAACGCTTTTCCGTACGTTTGTCTACACGGAGAGCATCAAACGCAACTTTCATTCGTGCCGCAAAGCGACGACAACTACGGTAATGGGATACTCGAACTTCCTCAAAAGCTTAATGGAACAGGCTCCTGTTCCAGTTTCACCGCGAGACGGGCCGAGAAAATTGTAAGTGAGACTATTACTCCCCGCCACGGCGGCGAGAAGACGGCGAACGGCGGCGGCGGTGTAATCAGAAAATAAGCGCGCGAGGCCTTGGTAGAACGCGCGCCATTTCCAAATAACTTTCTCGCTCCGTTTATTCCCAGCCGACGTTCCGCGCGCGCGCGCGCGCTCGAACTCGTATAATAGCCGGGGGAAATCAAAATCTAAAGTTTCGGAACAGACGGACGGACGCGCGCGCATTGTCGTGCTCGTAAAATGAACGTAATAGACCTCGGCGCAGCGAGTTATCTTGGCAACGACCTGCCAAGTTGTCCGATTCGCGAGACAATAAATCGGAGTCCTCGCGCTTCGCATTTCCGGCTGTCGAATCGCGTAAAACGCCAGACGAGTCGAGACGCAGGGGGAGAGAGGCAAGAGAGGGAAAAGGTAAGCTACACGCTCGTCCGCGTGAGCGATCACGCGACAGTAAAATGGAAGCGGCGGGAATGAAATATGAAGTGAAACGTAAAACGCGCGTAAGAGATACACATCGCGCGGGCTACCTTGGGACATTGTCAATCAAAATTTTATCGACATCCGCGCGGAATTTTTATAAGCGGCCTTGCGGCAAGGGAAGAAAGGAATCCCGGCAGACCGTCGCAACATTAAAAACACGTCGGTGATTAAAAAGTGTGAGTAAAAAATTCAGCGCTCGCCCGATGTAACGCGATAGTAGCGGCATTTTCATTTTCAACCGCTCTCTCGTCTTTTTCGTATTCTCGATTGCCGTCACCGGATTGCCGGAAAACCGGAACAGTTGTCAATCGTAAGTCATTTTGTCGTATTTTCAACTTGCGGATTAAATTTTAAAATATTTCTTTTGTTTTACTTTTAGGGTTTTTTCTACTTTTTAGAGGTTTCAGATATTTTGACGGAGCAGCTATATCAGCAGGATATCGCAAATCCTTTAATTTATAATCGAACTTAAATTTTTGAACATTTGAGAAACGACTTATAGTAACCGCTTCTCTCCGGAAGCTCTCCGCTTCGTAGCAACACTTTGAAATCCCCTTTTAATGGCCCTCTTTCCCCCTTCCCTCCCTCAATCGTCGCTATCTCGATGTATTCCACCTGAGGAGATATCGAGTACGAGGAATGCGTGAGAAAGTGTCACTTGTGTACTTACGGCTTTAATGTCCGCGCGATCTATCGATACAGTGATGGCTCCTACGCTGATGAACAGCCACGTCGCCAGGATACCTGTGTGCGAGCGATGGAACTTTTTATTAGGCAGGCTAGGGAGGAGCAGCTGGAAACGCTGCGCTATCGGGCGAGAGGCGTGTACTCACATTTCAATAACAGCGCCGGCGACATCGTGGCGCAGCATGGGGTCATTCACGCGAGGATTCTGCAACGGGAAAGCAGTCGCTCGTTAAAAAGCCGACGTCTCGCTGGAGAGCGAGTTTCCAACTCGCGCAGCAACTCGCCGCAGGTAAAATGTCACAAATTCGAAATAACATTCGCGGGCCTTCATGTCGAGACTGCACGCACACACTCTGTCAATCGAAGATTGCGGCTTGTGGATGAAAGTTCCTCTCCCAGGGAAATTCCGACGATGATAATGACAATAATAATCATAATTTTAACCGCACTTTTCCATACGCGACGCAACGTCGCAGGCGCGCATGCGAGATCGCGCTCGCAAAAATCGCGCTTGTCGATCGACCCGCAAGTAGAACACCGGCCGGTGTCTCTCTCTCTCTCTCTCTCTCTCTCTCTCTCTCTCTCTCTCGCACACACACACATCTCATCCCACGGCGAGGTGAATTAACTGTTAAAACATTGAACACGAGAAAAGCGTAACGTGTATCGCGCGCGCAGAGAAAGGAAGGATAGAAAGCGTCGCGCATCGATCATAATCTCCCGGATCGTTTCCGTGCTGTTTTCTCATTTTTAAATCGCGATATTAGCGAAATCCAGCGCGGACAAGAGCACGACTGCGGAGTGGCGGAAGGGTCGGTGGCGAGGGGGGTAAACGAGTGAGAGGGGGAGGGGAAGGCAAAATTTCTCTTTTTACGAGCAATTCCGCCGTAATACGCGGCATCTTTCGTGCGCGATGCGCACTTTCGTGTAAACTACCTGTAACGCGCAGGACGAGTGGGCGCTCGCGTCTCGCAATTTCGAGCTGCCGAGCTTAGCGAACCGCGAGCTCAACTCGCCCGTCTCGTCTCGTCTCGTCTCGTTTGAGAAATTCTCGTCGCAGCGACGATCTAAGTTATCGCGATCGCGACGTGCAATAAAACTTCGCCGGAGCGTGCACCCCCGCGCGCGCGGGGGGGGGGGGAAGGGGGCGTATCGGGCGTATTACGAAGTCGCTCGTGAACATTCATATTCATGAACGATAAATTTTTAACTGCCCGCCCTCCTCCTCGTCGCTCCTCCGTCCCTTCTCCTCCTCGCCATTATTGCCGCAAATGTCCGTCGTAATGGTCCAAATCGAGTGAATTATGAAAATCACGAGATTCGAACGCAGTCGTGATATTGTTTATTACTCATTGTACCTTGTTACATCACCCCTTGCGCCGTCTTATCCACCCCCCCCCCGTCCGCCGGCCCCGCAAAAATCTGTGCGTGCGTAACAACTCTGTGAGTGCGCGCCGCTTGATTGAGCAAAACGAATGACAGAAAATGTGCATTACGTGACTCAACACGCATGAATACAAACGCACATTACGACGGGCGTTGGCGCGCGCGCGCGAGTTTGCGCAGCGGACATCCTCGCGATTGTAATTCACTTCCCAAATGCGTGGAAGGAAAAGAAGAAAAATACGCAGGAAAACAAGCGTGTTATGTAAAGTGGTAAAAGGTAGAAATTTGTGATGCTAAGACTCGCCACTTTCTCTTCATTCATTAAACATCGGGGGTGTGCAAGTTGTCGAATTTGCATAGATACTTTTGCACCCTTTTCCTCTTTTCTCCCTCTCATCCTCTCTCTCTCTCTCTCTCTCTCTCTCTCTCTCTCTCTCTCTCTCTCTCTCTCTCTGTCGAGAAGCGGAATCAAAGTAAAGGCAACGCCCGCCGATATTCAGTTCGAAACGCAGTTCGCGCGGGCGCGGGCGCGATCGAAATTTGGTTTCCGCGATCGGCAGCCGCTTTTAACGACGGCGGCGCTCTCGAAATTAGCTCGGCAATTAGCTCGCGCGCGGCATCGCTGAGTGAAAATTCAATTGGCTGGCGCGTGAAGCCATCGTCGCTCATCGATTCCGATGCAATTATAAGCTGCCGTTTAACGGCACGACCCATCATCGGCCGCGCCGACAGCTTTATACATAGCGCGGAAATCTGCGCTCCCTCTGCGTTCCGCTCATTTTCGATCTTGGGCAAACAGAGCGAGACGATCACGCGCGACTGTACCTCGCTCTCGCGCGTACCGCGCCGTCTTTTTCTTTCTGTCAAACGTTCGTACACGTTCGTACGTGGCATCCCATCGAATGTACGAGGTTTCTCGTGAGCACCAGCCGATGCGATTGTTCCATATATCGATAATTACCTATCGCGCGATGATAAAACATCGGCGAAATTGAATTACACGCATTTTACCTGTACCACCTGTAATTTCCTCCAGCTGCTATAGGCTGTAATTAGTTTTTCCACGGGTGGTTTTAATTAAACAATCAGTTTGTTTGTTTGTTTGTTTCCTAGAGCTTTAAAATTGGCAATAAAACGATTTTTATCGAAGACTCGGAAATCGAGCGCTGGAAATATAAAACTATAATCAAATATATCCATCGAGTAATTTTGCTCCCGATAAAAGAGGGGTATTTCGCAAATGGAACTCTGGACGGTAATGGGTCTAGGGGGAGTGAAACAGTTTTCTTTTTCCTTTTTTTTTTTATAAGGAAAAATTGTACTTCGCTCATGAAAAATGACGTTTAAATTCATTTCCACGGTTTGCATGGTCAGTGCTTCAGGCCACACGAGTAACTCCGCAACTTTTCTTGACGTGCTCGAAATTGGTCGGGTTTGCCTTTTATTTTTCCGTTCATCAAGAATATTTCGTCGGACGATTCGGGGGCGAAAAACAATTTAGCGGTGTTTGCGTTCGCCCGCGTGCACGCCATCGCCCGGTGCTGCCACCGCGACGGCGAGAAGCACTCCGCGATGCACGGAAAATCGATAGAGCGCCGGTTACATTTAAATTTCAAGCTCGCTTCCGGATGAATTAATTATAAATGTCGCTGGCCAAGCCTCCCAAGGGGGTTGATGTATTTCGCGACGGGCTTGATGAATAGAGCCGAGAGCTGCAGCTCGGTGCTCGCTCGCTCGCTCGCGCGCGCGCGCGCGCGCGTGCGTGCGACTTTTGAATAGATTCCCTCGTATTTCGTTATCAATCATTTCTTTAATTCGAATGTCGCTGTAGAGTAAGCAGATTTGTATATAGGGAGGCGAGAAAAATATTTCACCACTGTCGCGTTGAATGAATAACGATAGCGTGACGAGAACATCTCGAGAGCGATCGAGCGATTTTCAAGCGAAGAAAAGTGAGAGAAAAGAAAGAGAGCGCGAGAGAGAGAGAGAGAGAGAGAGAGAGGAGGGAAGGGCGGAGGAAAAGGAAAGAGAATATCGACTCGCACGATCGCGCTTCTCTTCATCTTCGAGAAAGAACGACGACGGACGGTGGGGCACGCTAAGCGACAGTAATTCGCCGTTATTACGACTCGGCAAATCGTGCGAAATAGTACGTGTAATAATGTAAATCGAAGTTGCGCAGCAATGTCCGTCTTGCCTCGTTAAACGTAATTTATACGAAACGGGAATTGTTGAAGGATTCCTTCCGCACGGTTCTGCATAATTCGATTAAGAGTCGGATGAAATACGAGCTAACGCCGTTGCTTCTGATTTTTACGATCACGCTATTGCCTTCCACCGATCCGGCGACGCGACGTGCTCCCACGCTGCCCATTTAGCGCCGAGACTTTCATCTCGGTGCGTGCATTCTGAAATGCACCTTTCGTAGTTAATTGAAAATATTCTTCCGTCGACGAACACGTGCGATCCGTGCGGACACGCTTATAATCCGCTCGTACATCTGCTTCCGAGAGAACCCATCGCTCTTCTCTCTCCGGGATCAATTCAGTCTTCATCTCGTTGCAGTCGAGATTCCGTCAGAAATGGAATTTCCAAAATAGTCGCGCTCTCTCTCTCTCTCTCTCTCGTTGTCGACGTCCGACAAGAAGAGCGCCAGCGGCGTCGGCTGAACTTTCATCTGTATGCTAATTCCTCTCGCAGAGATCCCGCGATAAAAATTCCTCTCATAATAATAATCCGCCTGAATGATATAATTCTCCTCGTAATAATATTTTCCGATAATAAATCAATTTCTCTTCGTCACGATAATTTCCGCCAAAGCCCCGGCGACGCCGGCGCCGGTGCCGGCGCGGCGGCCTGATGCGAAACATCAAAGTCTCGCGATCCCAGACGCTTCTTTCCTCGGAGTTAATTTCTAGCCAGGGACACATTCGATGCGAACGGACTCCCGGTGGTTTTAATCGCCGGGAACCTCCGTCGTCCACAGCGCGAAGTCTCTCTCCGGTGGCCGCATTTAATAAGCGCTCGAGCTCCACGTGCGCGCACCATCGCCCGCTAGATGGACGCTCTCGAAGCAACATTGAGCCGGCTCCCCGCGACGGCTTAAACGACGCGAGTGCATTATATCGGCAAAAAGCCGCCGACACTCAAAAGCAGCCTTTTAGCATTAATGGATTGAAATTTACTTTACATGCGCGTCGCTTTAATACACACAGAGAGAGAGAGAGAGAGAGTCAGCCGCGCGACATTCGCGTCACGCGACATAGGTCACGTCTGACGTCGTTTCCGTTGCCGAAGCCGAACCGTTTTAATATCGTCATTCGGAAGGGCGGACGCCGTTGAGAGCGGGTTAATACACGACGCACTCACGTAGATGTACCTTCACACGCGCGAAACACGCGCTCGGAAAATGGTTGAGTTAAAACCGAGCTTTCGGACTTGGAGTCGTCCGTTATTATTTCTTGCAGCTTACCGAGAGGAAAAAACAGGAAATGAGGAGAGAGGGAAATTGCTGAGGAAACACGATTTCCATTCTAACACAAGTTTTTCAGACGCGCGAGTAATAATGTATGAGTCACACCTATCGACTTTTATTCCAAGTTATCGAACACACACACACACACGTACCTCGCAAATATAAAGAGAAAGAGAGAGAGAGAGAGAGAGAGAGAAAATGCTAAAAATTTCATACGACTCTGATAAAAAATTCCACAGGGCCGCGTATCTTTCTAACACGTTCAGAACCTGTTCAGTCGCGGGACAGTCTTTCGTGCGTATCACGAAGTCGTTCGTCTCGACCGAGAGAAGGGACTCGCGTTC